GTAAAAGAGTTTAACAACAAAGAAGGTTTTAAGTTCGTTTTACAGGCATTTGCCACACGTGCTACTCCACGTGTAATTTACGTGATTAGGTGTCCCTGTGGATTGTTGTATGTGGGTCATACTCTCAGACCTATCAAACTAAGAATATTGGAGCATTGATCTAGGATCAGAAACAATGTAACAGATGCTCCTTTAGTACAAAATTTTATTGAAGCATCTCATTCTGATGAGGACTTGATATTTTTTGTAATTTGGACATATCTAGGTCCTGTAGAATGAGCTAAAAAAATCCTCATACAGAAAGAAACTAGGTTCATTTTCTTATTGAATTCTTTACATCCCTCAGGTCTGAATACTGAAATTGATTATAGTTGCTTTTTGTGAATGTGTACTAATGTTTATATGTAGAACACCCGAGCATGGGCTAAGTTTGTTTTACTTCTGTGGGCCGAGTAGATTACTTTGAAAAACACATTTTGTTCCTATGGATTGCTATTATTTTATGTATGAGTTTGTTTAAATATATAACATCTGAGCATGGATTAAGTTTGTTTTACCTTTGTTGTGCCATATGGGTCAATTTAAGAGAGAAATTGTGTATCTGTGGATTGCCAACACCTGTTACTCAAACCAATATTGTGCTTGTCCATATAATCCTGCTTCGTAACATTTGCTGCTTACTGCAGCTACTACTATGCTATAAGGTCCACTGTCCTGTAGTATTACATATGGTATGTACAGTTATGGTTTTTTTATATCATTTTGCTATAAAAATGTGTGAGATGACGATATTGTATTTATTTGTATTACCTAGAGCCTGTACTACTGATGAAGCCTAGGATGCCAAAACAAGGCTAATCTGGAAATCCTTGTCTTAGACTCTGTGAAAGGATTCTGTGGAACTGTAACAAACTTTTATGTGGGTTATTGGACTCTATGAACAGACAGGTGGAATAGACACTGAAACTTACACATGTATGGACCTTATGCATGGGCTGATTAGAGAATGAACTGATCCACTGGGTCATCTACTTTTTTTGTTGAACTTTATGAGACTTCCGTTGATATCTACCATTTGTTAAAATGAATAGTATACCTTATTTATTAAAAAGTTGGTTGTTGGCATCACTACACTACACAAGGTTTACCAAGGAATAAGAAAGAAGAGAGGAAGCAGAGAAGGAGGGAGATTAGGAGAGTGTAGGTGAGAGCTCGGTTGTTGGCCTTCACAATGGGGGGGGTGTCTTTGTATTTAATAAAAATCCCTAACACCCAGACTGTGATGAGGGAAAAACCCCCAGCAACTGATGCTAAAGTGATCCCCAAAGGTTCTTCATATGACAGAAAGTTCATATGTTTTGGGATACAATCATCTCTGTTTATGCTTGGATATTGATCTTCTGGGCATTTGAAACAGTCATTCATGTCTGAGAAATTTTTTTTTTAAAAAAAACACACCAGTTCAGTTCTTGTTCATCTCAAACATCATATTGAATCCACATATGATGCCAACATTTTATAATGAGGACAATACCTACCAGTCTGGTTTGAAATCTCCCTTCAGGGAATGGGGCGCAATCATAGCAGCAAAACTTTTCTCTTTCTTTTCTTTTTTTCCTGATGACCAGGATGGCAATATTCATTACACACAGAAAGGGGAAGCACCTACCCAGAAATATGATAGGAGTTTTAGGAATGAGATTTTGGAATAATTTTTATGTGGATCACTTCCTGAAACATACCATATTGAAGCAAAGTGTTCAAAAAAGTACATATGTTTGAGTTTCACTTGCAATGCGCATGAGCCTCACCGTGATGGAAGGAAAGTGTCTCTCAAGGTGCTCATACACATCAACTCTATGACTTTGACTGCACTGAATATTACCTGACATTACACTTCTTACAGAGACACACATCACACTTACTTTTATTGAATGCTTACTTAGGTTGCCAACACTTCAATGTGAGTAGTGGCTAATATGATGAAAAATGGGAGGCTTGTTGTTACTAAGACCTGCCAACCACTTTATGCCTGCACTCCCAACTATACCTGACAGAGGGGGTTATTTGTAACTATTTCCAAGCTTCCTTCTTGTTTTTCAGTGCCTTCTGGAAAGCTTTTAGAAATTTGGCCAAGTGAACACGTTATTGTGATTTAGATAATTGTAGGGGAAGATAATTACTTCTTCATACATGTGACACTTTTGGTAAAAGATATGAAGACCTTTCTTTTGAGATTTGACCACACATCTCTTCTGCTCCCTAAAGAAATTAGAAATGGAAGATTTGTTCCAGATTTCCATGGTGAGCAGATCCCATCTGGAAAATGCATCTACAGTGGAGCTATCTTATTGCCTGGAGATGTAATCAGTAAATTCTGAAATGATGTCTAATGTTCAGAACATTGAAGCACACTTATCAATCTATTTTTATTTAACAAATTTATACCTTATTTCTTGAAAGAGCTTCTCCACAATGTGCAACAAAATGTAAAGTCAACAGCAGCATCCCAAAAAGCACTGGCAACCAGTGCAACTTGTGTAATATCAATGAAATGAGTGCCAATCTCCCAATCTCAGCTGCAAAGCAGGTAGATTTATCGTTTCACAGATGAAGTTTTTGAGCAGCCTTCAGAGGCAGCCAATTCAGAAATCTGCCCAGATGCTGGTCAACAACATTTTTGGATTGCTAGACATATTTCACATTTTTAGCTAGTGCTGTGGGCACATTTGTAAAATGGCTGTTCTAGGTACAGTATCCTCCAGCTGTTCTTAGTCTACAATTCCATCATCCTTAATCACTGGTGGAGCTGGAGACCCAAGTTTGGGAAACTCCATTCTACAGCAAAGCCAAGGCTGTCATTCTCTACTCACTTACTTGAGACTAAACCTGGTTTAAAACTGAGACTTACTTCTGAATAGATGTGTTGTAAGTTAACGATATAGTAAATTATTAGTAGGTGCCTGATCTTTAGCTGCTTCCAAGCAGGAGACATATATTTTGGGGAAGAGGGCAATGGCAGCAATTTCTCTCAGAAATGAACCATGCCTTGAATCCAGGAATGAAGGAGAGTTTCAGTGAATTTGCTTTTTCAAGTGAACGAATGTATTTCATACCTCCTTAACTCATACGCAAATAAGATAGGAACATAAAATTATACTTTAGATTTTGCACATTTCTGATTTTTGTAGTAAAAGCTTTCAGCTCAAAAAACAGCACCAACATGATTAAATTTTATAAAGTGTACTTAGAAATGTTCATATTGAGACTGTTAAAGGTTTAGGATTTTCCCCCACAGATTAACAGAAAAATGTGCTAAAGAAATGCAAGTTTGACACGTATTGATGTGCACACCCCAAACTTGAATGACAACAAACACACACTGTTTTTGAAGTGAGAAACACACAATGAAGAATGACAGGGAGCAAACTGCCTGTTTCCCTGAATCCCAGCTCCAAAAAGCAGAAGAGGGAGATTTTAAAAACCAGAACAAACTTAGTTGGTCTCTAAGGGGCCACTGGACAATTTTTTAATTTAATTCAACTGTGTCAGACCAACACACCTACCTACCTGAATTTAAAACCTTGTTTGCCTCATGTCTCCTGGAATCCTGTTGGAGCTGTAGTCTGCTGCCTTAATTACAACAATTTTTTTAAATATAGAAGAGAGAAAAATACCCTTGAAGAGATTTGGCTCTTAATGAGACCATTGGCAGGAGGGGTGACATTCCTCCCCCCACCCCTCACCCCCCACCCTGGGAGATACAAAACTAATGGGGGGCATATTTGGACTCATACAAAGAATGACACAATTGGTGTCATACTTAACCACCACCATCCCACTCCAAATTCTCAAGTTCACATGACACTCTGCAATGAAAGCATTTCACTTCAATGAAGGCATTGAAGACCCTTGATGAATCAGGCCCAAGTCCCATCTGGTTTAGCATTTTGATTCTTTCAGTGGAAGCCTGCATTCTCTCCACTTGTGATTAGGAAAAGGCTATTGATGACTACTAGCCATGATGGCTAAGGGCAGCAATGCTTCTGAGTAACAGCTGCTGGAAACCACAGGAGCAGGGAGATCTCTTGTGGACAAATCTTGCTTGCTGGATTCCCAAAGGCATCTGGTTGGCCACAGTAAGAACGGGATGCTGGACTAGATGGGTCATTGGCCTAATGCAACAGTCTCTTCTTATGATTTCCAGCACTTGATACTGAGAAGCACATGACAGTGGCAAAATACAGCCATTGTGGCTAATATGTGCACTTTTTAATTTATAGGTGTTCAAACTGTCGTTAATATTGTGTTTTACATTGTTGTAACATGATAATTTATATCCCTGTGTCCTTTGCTTTTTAAATCTGATTGCAATACCAAAAAAATGAACAGAAACAGGTCTTAGCCTTCATTGATAAATGATATTTTATTTCTTAAATTTGTTCAGATATGTGACAAAAATGAAATGAATCAGCTGATATGGTATCCTGAACTAACTGATAGGGTAGGTCCACAGCTTTCATTGCCACAAACACTTCAGAATAAATGCAAATTTAATATCAGATTAGCATTACAGTAGTATCAGTGTTCGAAACTCCCATTGTTCTAGTTGCATTTTGTGACAGGGGATTTCATTAGCACAAGCAGTTTGTGAGCTCTGGGCACAGTACAGTGCCTAATATTTTAAATAAAAAACTGCAGAGTGGGAGGAAAGGAGGACTTTTTACTGCCTCCCCACTTCCAGCTACTCTCTGAAGACTGGAGAAGAGACCATCTTAAGAATATTAGGGGGTTGGGCAGGGAAAAAACTAGACAATGTGAATAATGAACATAATATTTTAGCTACAGTTCATTCATTTTCAGCTTTGTATTCTTATAAAAAGTGTGCCTAGACATTGTGTTTCTGAACCCATAACCTAGGTTTAAGGTGCCATTTAGCTCCTAGCGTTCATATCTCAGTTTCGAACACTGAGTAAAAAGAAATTACATTATTACATTCCTTAATTATATCTCTTTGCTAGTTGCTCTTTGATGTTCAGCTTGGGCTTCAGCAGAATAATGTAGCATTTAGGGACAAAGATACAACCCAATATCCCAGCACCAGAGGCTAAGATGGAGAAGATCTCTACAGCTACCATAGATTTTCCCTTGGTGCTCAGGTAGGTAGGGACAAAGGACATCCAAACACTAGAAAACATCAACATGCTGAAGGTGATAAATTTGGCCTCATTGAAAGTGTCCGGCAACTTCCTGGCCAGGAAAGCCACATTGAAGCTGATGATGGCTAGAAGGCCCATGTAGCCCAGGACAAGATAAAACATGAGGACAGAACCTCCGTTGCATTCAACTATGATCTCCACAGCCTGTGAGTGCATGTCCAAATCTGGGAATGGGGGAGAGATTGCCAGCCACACCACACAAATGCCTGCTTGAATAAGAGAGCTTGAAAGCACAATGGAGTTGGCCAGTCTTTTGCCCACCCACTTCCTCATGCTAGACCCTGGTTTGGTGGCCATAAAAGCAACAACCACAGTGATGGTTTTAGCCAACACACAAGAAACAGCCACAGAGAAGACAATACCAAAAGTAGTTTGACGGAGAATGCAGGTCACCTCCGTAGGTCTTCCAAGAAACAGCAAAGAACAGAGGAAGCAGAGGAGGAGGGAGACAAGGAGAATGTAGCTGATGTCCCGATTGTTGGCTTTGACTATGGGGGTATCTCTGTGCTTGATGAAAAGTCTTAGCACAAAAGTGGTGATGAGTGAAAGAGAAACAGAAACCGAACTAAGGCTGATCCCCAAAGATTCTTCAAAAGAAAGAAATGTCATAAGCTTGGAGATGCATCTATCTCTACTCTGTTTAGGATATTGATCATCTGGGCATTTAAAGCATTCATCCATGTCTGAAAAAGGAAAGATGATTCATCACCCCTGTGCCAATTTATACGCAAATTGTATCTGATTCCAGGACTGTATACTCCATTGTTTTAGCGGTCAGTTTAGCCAATGAGTCAGATCTGTGATTGACAATTGACTTCAAAAAGAAAGGAGGAAGACCTTTCATTGCCTACAGACAGCCACCCAATCTTAAACAACTCCTAACCCACAATAATACTACAACCAGACCTAACACGGACACTGGCACCAGAGCCTGCAATAAACCAGTAGGAGAACACTTCAATCTCCCAGGACATTCTATACAAGATCTCAAAGTAGCTGTTTTACTACAAAGGAATTTCAGAAATAGACTGGAAAGAGAAGCTGCTGAATTACAACTCATTACCAAACTTAAAACCATGGAGAGACCTGGCCTGAACAAAGACATTGGATTCTTATCTCATTATACATGACAAAGCCATTTCTCACCTTCTCTCCCCTTGCTTTTTCCTGTAAGACCTATTGCAGTCGTTAAGAGTCGTCAACAGGCTCATCTCAGCTATCTGCCAATCACCCATTCCCACCACCCTTCTGAGTAATACCCCTCCCCACCTTCTCACTATATAGAAGGATCTGGCAACTTCTGTTTCAGTGTATCTGAAGAAGTGTGCTTGCACACGAAAGCTCATACCAAGAACTAACTTAGTTGGTCTTTAAGGTGCTACTGGAAGGAATTTTTTTGTTTCAAAAAGAAAAACACCTAAGCAACAGAAATCCATGTTGGCCTCTCTAGAAACAATACTACTGTATTCCATCCCCTTTAGTGCACTTTTTCAGCTTCTGTCTCATTTTCTAGAGCTTGGAATCTCAGCAGTTTGCCCTTCTCTTTTTCCTAGCAACAAGGATGCATATTTCCTTTGGTGAATTTGTCTGAAATCAGGTTACTCACTATAAATCTTTCTTTTCTTTTCTTTTTTTCAAATACAGCTATACAATAGCTATAGTGGATATTAAGAAATCCTCTGGCCTCACACAGCAAAAGCAAAATTAGAAGAAGAAAACCCCCGCAAAGAGGCTTAGCCTGTCTCCTACTATGCAGGAGCTAAAGTCTAGGCCCTACTTAAGAATTCATTGTACTTACACAAATCTTATGCAATTTGCAGATCTGTGATCTGTTTTATGTATGAGCCAAGGCCAAATATACCTACGGTCTCCTGAGCCCATAACATCCTGTTGGCATCCCAGTCTGCCCCTGCCAAAACAATGGCTGGGAGAGGGCAAAACTCAACCCACCACTGAACATATTCTGGATCCAAAAGTGTTCCACGGTGGGTTGCTTTCTGTCTCCCATCAGCTACTTTAAGGGGCTGTCATTTCTAATTCAGCTTAACAGAGACACAAGGCCTCATTTTGTTTGAACAGGCAGAGGCCATTTCTGTTGTAAAATTGCTTGTGTGCCCAAAGTTTAAGTGATCCTTTCTTCCCGAGTATTTGCAAAATTGCTTACAAAATTTGGGCAAAATTTGAACCACACAATCCCATGTTCTGTTTAATCCACCAGAGTATAACAATTGGTGAAGTGTATCACTTACCCATTTGGTCAGAGATCTTCCCTTCTGGGCATGGAGCACAATCATAGCAGCAAAATTTCTCACCTTCTTTCTTTTTCTTCTGATAACCAGGGGGGCAAGAATCTCCACATACAGAAATAGGTGTTACCTATGCAGAGCAATGAAGGGAGTTTAGGGGTGGATAAATTGTGGGGTGGAGTATTGATTTACTGTCACACAAAGGAAAAAACATAACAACAGGCATGCCTAAATACAGAACATGACACATAATGATGGGGCATTGAGAGCCCACCTTCACACGTCCACTCTCAAGCTACAAAATTGTTGAGAGAAATTCTGGGGTGGACTGGTGACTTACAAAATTTAGGGTGTGGGACTTTTGCTATCTCTGCAAAACAGCAGCAGTGATCCTAAACTGTTCTTTACTCCAGTGTTTCCCAAACGTTTTTGGGCAACGGCACACCTGTTTACCGGAAAAAAATCTCGCGGCACACCACCATTAAAGCCCCGCCCCCGTGACGTCATTCGGGGAGCCGGCGGCCCGGGCCTGAGCTGGAAGGAGAGGCGGTGCTTTTCGGCACAAGGCAATCGGCCTGGAATTGTTTCCCGCGCGCTGCGAAAGGGAACAGCTGCGGTCGCGCGAACCCTCCGGCGCTGGGAGGGGAAAGGGCGGAGTCGCAGAGCACCAGCTGGCCGAGCGGTTGCGCGCAGCGTTGCGCTTTTGGAGAGCGTGCGGCTGCTGCTAGGGGATCCGGGGACGTGAGCAGGCCTGGCCCGACCCGGGTTGAAGGAGGACAAGCCGGCAGCGCGCCAAGTGAGTTCGGTTGCGCGCGACGGCCCCCGCTCCCCCCACCCCCGCCGGATCCTCGCCGCCGCCGCCTCTCGCCCGCCTCCCTCCCACGGCACACCAGCCGATGTCTCACGGCACAGTAGTGTGCCGCGGAACACCGGTTGGGAAACACTGCTTTACTCAATCAAAGACATTTTGCTTCACAATTCTATAAGGTTTTTCGTCCAGCTGTCTTCTTGAAAAATGTCATGACTACAGCCACATCACTCTCTCCCACAATTCATCTGAACATTCTGTTTATCTCAGCCATCTATATAACGGAATCCTGAAAAGAGAGAGGTGTTATGTGTATAGCTTCTCAAGTCCAGTGGATATGAAAATAGCCAGTTCTGGACTGAGTTGCTCTCCCCTGGACAGAGCTGTTAATAGCTTGTGGGGTGTACTCCTGGATCATTTAGACTTCCAATCACATGCCCTAAACCACCTATCCTGATAATGGAGCTGTCGCCCAGAGTATCTAAGAATCCACACCTGCTTAAAGCTCCTGTGCCACACAATGATATTGTCATTAATGGTGAATTGTTTCCCTTCCCCAGCACTCGGATCCATCATTCCAACTTTCATTTTAATAAAGGAATTGTTTGGGAATAGGTCCATGTTCATGATATCAAATCTGGCTATCAATTCCCCATGGTCATCAAAAAACATTTTTTCTCCAGCTGAGTTGTTAAAAGAAATTCTTTGAAGAAAGGCGTGAAGCTGGGGGGAACAAAAAAATAAAGGAGAAGCATGATGAAATATTTTTGTGAAGTTTTATGAACATGGATAAGACCTGGATAAGATAAAATCTTTATTGGTGTCAGCCACAAGCCATAGCAAATGACTCAAATACAATCAAATACAGATATCTAGATTATTCACTATAACACTTCCAAATACAGTGGTACCTCTGGCTACGTACTTAATTTGTTCCGGAGGTCCGTTCTTAACCTGAAACTGTTCTTAACCTAAAGCACCACTTTAGCTAATTGGGCCTCTCACTGACGCCGCACCGCTGGAGCATGATTTCTGTTCTCGTCCTGAAGCAAAGTTCTTAACCCAAGGTACTATTTCTGGGTTAGCAGAGTCTGTAACCCGAAGCGTCTGTAACCTGAAGCGTATGTAACCCAAGGTACCACTGTAGTTTTATTATTGTGTAGTGGTTGAACTTGGATCTGGGAGATGAAGGTTAAAATCACAACTTGGCTATGAAGCTTACTTAGTGACCTTGGGCCAGTCACAGCCTCTCAGCTTCACTTGCCTTATAGGGTCATTGTGGGACCAAACTGAGGAGAACTATGTATGCTACCTTGAGCTTCTTGGATAAAAAATGTGGAATATAAATGCAATTTTTAAAAATTGTTAAGGCTTTTATGAAATTGGAATGCTCCCTCCCCCAACACCTCCCAAAATTAGAAGACACGAGATTCTCTTTCTGCATAGCATTTAGTCAGGATAGGGAAGATCAACATTATTTCTCAGTAGCTTTAGTTGCTTCAGGAGGGTTGATCTCAGAAGGTGATGCTGAGAGACTGCTGTTCCACACAATTAATGTTATGAAAACATAATAATGGCCTATATCCCAGTATCACATTGGCCAACACAGTACCTTTGAGAAGTTCACAATCAAGTCCTGAATGCAAAGGCGTTCTCCCCATTAATGATTCCCAGTGCCAGGCATTCAGAGGCATACTGAAATGAACATGTATGGGAAACATAAAGTGTCATCTACCTGACAATTCTGGGGAAAGTCATCAGGATTGTGACTAAAAACCAATTTCAGCACCCATCATCTGATTACGAGGTGTTTGAAATTGGTGTTAGTTTAGGAAAGGATAAGATTGAATATGCTGAATCTTTTCTGAGTCAAGAACTATCCAAAACTATCACCCACAATATCTGAGAACCCAAGGTTGAAAAACATCATTATCAGGTAGCTTGGGCAGCAGCTGACAATGATCATAATAGTAAATCATTTTACATGGGTGTGAGTGATAGGTGCTCTTTCACTTTCTACTTTACCAGAATAAAACCATTTCATTTGGAAGACATTACCTGCCAAGGTTGAACACTGTGAAGGTCAAGCCTTTGAAATACCTTCACTGCTCTGTACTTGACCCAAGAGGAGTACATGGCGTGCAAAGCATGTGCTATAGCATAGACAGCATTATAGACACTGTAACTGTGGCCAGTCATGCCCATTTCAAACACAGACCTGGGAAGACTCTCTGGTTTCTCATCTCCAGTACATGTTGAATTCAGTATCTCTGACAACATGGAATTTGAAAAAGAACATTCAAACGCCTGCTCCCAGAAAACCTTGAAAAATCCATCTTCATCTGCAGAGTTGGGTTTTTTGTTCTGGATATATGTTTGGAACCCATTAGGTTCATTTGAGTGAATTGCGAAAGATATGGCTCCATGGAATAGTTGAAAATTCCATGTCCTTATCATGGATGTTACAGAAAAATCTATCTGAGCTGTCATAATCCACACTTTCTCAACAGATGTGTCTTCATTATATTCACGAAAGAACAGAGCTACTATGGTGGTCAACCACATTATGGTCATAGTTTCACCATAAGTGACAAACGCTGTGGCTTTGCTCTCCATGAAAGGTGTGTTAATACTCCACCCCATATCAATCAATTCATCAAAAGAAAGGAAATTGCCTTGGTTTGGGATTCTTTGTATGAAAGCTGGACAGATTCTATTCTGGGAAAGCAGGGGCTCTAAAGCCTGCAAAAAATGGTCTCCACTGTCATCATCCACAGCAAAGAGCCCAATCCATGTCCATCCAAAATGCTGAAGCAAATGGATAATCCCCATATACTGCTGGGATTCACTGGGCACCATGCGGTAAAAGGAAGAGGCATGTTTTGTATGACCCTCTTCCAGGGCAAATGATCCATACGCAAGCTGAAAGACCAAAATAAAACTAAAGATTGCTTGTATAGAGCTTGGATATTAGGAATACCTGAGTGCATTCTTATGTGATTGTATGCCGCATATGTGGAGGTAAAATTCTTATTTTAATTTCTACCTTTGCTTAAATACAACAGTGTTAACTTCAATGGCTCATTTGGATATTGCACTTGGAAGAAATGTGGTAACATAATGTAATCTATACTAGGGCTACCAGACGTCCCCGTTTCCCGGTGACAGTCCCCGGATTTGCGAATAAGTCCCCGGACAAATTCCATCCCCAGAATGTCCCCAGGAAACACAGTGGCAGCAGTCTCAGCAGCCCGGAGCAGTTGGCTCTGGCTGGCTTCAGGTGCTGCTCAGAAGTCCCCATATGATGGTGGTGCAGGGGCTCTAAGATGCAGCTTTTAGGCTGCCTCCACCTTCCCTGACCCCAGCAACTAAGCTGTGAAGGGAGGCTTCATGCTGCCTATCGGAGCAGCCTCCCAACTCCTACTTGCTTGCAACAGGAGCAGGGCGGGGATCTCTCAGCTGGGAAGGGAGGCTTCACATGGCCTAGTAGAGCTTGCGTGCAAGCAGGAGGGGGAAGGATCTCTCAGTTAGGCAACGAGAAGTCTCCTGCCCCAGCTGAGGGATCCCCGCCCCTTCCTGCTTGCACACAAGTAGGAATGGGATTGGGGCTGCTGCGATGGGAAGGGAGGCATCACACTGTCCGAGGCTCACTGCGGCTGCTGCTCTTGGCCCTCCTTCTCCACCTTCCATGCCTAAGCCACCGCGCACCGCTTCCCCACCACCACCGAAGAACCAACAACTCAAGGGCTATCCAGGCTCATGGAGAAAGGAGATAGAAGTCTTGGAGGAAGGGGAAACGTGGCAGCTGAGGTCAAGGTGGCGGTCACCCCTCTGCCACTGCCATCATTGCAGCATCAACGTCCCGAACGTGTAGTATTTATTGATTGATTGATTGTGTTCCCGGATTCATTGAAAAAAAATCTGGTAACCTTAATCTATATACAGTACTCATGATAAAGGGGGGGAATGTGCTAGACTCCCCTTACTCTGTCCCCCTCTTTTTACTAGTTTTGATAAGCCATTCCCCATTTGGTGAAGTTCTTTAAATATTGTATAAATTTTTTTTTTTTACAGCCAGCCTTTCCTCTGTGACTTTCATAGCCCCAGCATCACCCCCAGAATTAGAAAACATGAATTACATGTAAGATTAGACCACCAGTCCACCCCCATTACCTGTGGGATCTTGTAGAGGACTAAGATGTCTGCCATGTGGAAAGAGATATCAGAGCCAAGTGCACCAATAATGGCTACTAGGTTCTTCTGGGTGCCACATGTATAGTTGGGGACAAACCGGTGTGATTTGAAGAGCAAGTCTAGCATAGTACGATAGAACATCTTCTCCTGGTAGTAGCTGTCATAGATGTGGAACCCAAGTGTGACATTGGGCAAAATCTTGGGATTCTCATTGATTTCACTGATGGCAAATGCCAAAGCTAGGATGTGTTGGTAGAACTTTGTCACCATGCTGCAAGGAGTTATACGTCCTTTCAGAAACGGGTTCTGGACTGTGTAAAATGGAGTTTTCAGAACTCAGGAATGCTATGACTTCCAAGACTGCATAAACCGAATCTGAATTTGAAATGCTCCTATTTAAATATAGTATGATAGTCTTTTGGTGTTTTTGAATAGATGGAGCGAGTGGGGGGGAACAATCACAATGGCAGTGAAAAAGAACTATAGTCAATAATTTCAAAGCTGATCAGAGACAGAGAGGGAGGACCACAAACAGATAGGAAAATATGTGGTATATTTGTCCCTTCAACACAGTTTGTCTATTAAGTCTTTTACTAGTTTTCTGCCCCTGAAGCTAAGGTCTTATCCATGCAAATCCAGTGCTTTATTATAAAGTAGTGATGAATTCTTTTAAGGCTGGTTGATAATTGACAGCTTAAATTGGGAGGGATTTTTTTATTAGGGAGGGGAAATTCTTCCAAAAGTTATGTGGGGTTACTACTGGCTCAAGGGATCGTTCTTGCTTTCTTTATTCCCCAATTACCCAAACCTCTAGCATGGAACACTTGCCTACCAATTGTGTTGCCCAGAAAAAGTTAAAGAAACCTGCTACGTTAGATACATCCCATATGTATTTTTTTTTTAAAAAAAGAAATACTATGTCTTATATTTTATAATCCCTGGGCTTCCCAACTCAAATGTTATCCAATGTGGAAATGGAAGAGTTTCTTACATTGGAAGATCAGTGCCCAGCTCCTGAGAAGGATATACCTGGAAGGAAAATTTGGGGGAAATGTAAAGGATCTGAGAGGCAATCCCACCAATGAGGTGGTTCCCAGGCTCATACCACTCATGGGGAACAGGGAGGGAGTCCATTGCAGGGCACGTCACAGAATGTATTTTGCACCCTGTCAGAGGCAGAAGCAGCAACAACAACATCAACAGGCACTTCACCATCTCTGCATAAATGTCTTTCCCTTGAGCAGAATCTCCTGTGTCCACCTAAAGCCTTGCCACTGGCACCTATCTCCGTTTTAAAAGAAACTGACAATTGATAGCAAAGGACTCTGTCACTATACACTGCAAAGAGAAGCATGGAGGACAGGAAGCACACATGGGTTTGAAGCCAGGAGTCTTGTATCATGGAAAGTGGAGGAACTTTCACAATTCAATGTGACAAAGCCCGGTCCCTCATTCCGGCTCTAAATGCCACAAAAGGAAGGTTTTATAGACACTTTCTGAATTGGTTACTGATGCTATTTCTGGTGCCTTCTGGAAAGCAGTCCACTAAACTGATTATTATGGTATGGGTAATTATAGGGAGATATAATCACCTGCTCTGAGTTCTAGCCCTGAATCAGACCATTAGTAGCAGGTGTGTCTAACTTCTACCTAAAAGCTCAGTAATGCCTGCATAGACCTGAATAGGTTCTCCTGAGTTTCAGACAGGGGGCATTTTCAGGCCTATCTGGAGATGCCAGGAATTCAACTTAGGACCGTCTGTATGCAAAGCAGATGTTACACCACTCAGCTACAGCTCTTTCTGAATTACCACAATGGTGGCAATGCTTCGAGAGAAGCATTGACTGGCTTCACGGCTTGTCCCACATCATGATCTTTTGCATAACACACACATACATTGTAATTCGTGATATACTGGCAGGTCAAATTTTATGAAACAGTTGTGACAAGTGGGCTTCAAACCAGTTTTGAATGATGTATTTATATATCACCAATCTTTATATGGGATTAGACTTTCTCATATATTTATTCCTTAACCCAGAATTCATTATTATTATTATTATTATTATTATTATTATTATTGATTTAATTTTACCCCACCCTTCTTGGTTTAAAAACTGGGCTCAGGGCAGCTAACAGCAAATATAAAACATTGATTAAAATGCGACTTAAAAACAGCACAAAACAGCATAAAATGCAGCATCAATATCAATATCAATAAAATTCAAAAATTCAGAGGTCATTGGTGGGTGGGGAGAAAAAGAAAAAACAAACCCAGTCAATAGACATCAAATGATCACCAGGGCTAACTGGCCAAGTTGGTTCTACTAGGGCCAGCAAGGAGACCAGGGAAGAATTTAAATGTGGGGTCCCAGAAAGGGTTTCTTCATAGAAGAGGAAAGGGAAACGGGAATAGAGGATCAGACTAATTCAAATTGAAGGCCAGGAGGAATAGCTCTGTCTTACAGGCCCTACAGAAGGAGATCAAGTCCTGCAGGGCCCTAGTCTCGTGGGACAGAGCGTTCCACCAGGTCGGAGCCGTCACTGAAAAAGCCCTGGCCCTGGTGGAGGATAGTCTGGCTTCCTTAGGGCCCAGGACCTTTAGGTAAAGGTAAAGGTACCCCTGCCCGTATGGGCCAGTCTTGCCAGACTCTAGGGTTTGTGCGCTCATCTCACTCTATAGGCCGGGAGCCAGTGCTGTCCGCAGACACTTCCGGGTCACGTGGCCAGCGTGACATCGCTGCTCTGGCAGGCCAGCGCAGCACACGGAACACCGTTTACCTTCCCGCTAGTAAGCGGTCCCTATTTATCTACTTGCACCCGAAGGTGCTTTCGAACTGCTAGGTTGGCAGGCGCTGGGACCGAACGACAGGAGCGCACCCCGCCGCAGGGATTCGAACCGCCGACCTTTCGATCGGCAAGTCCTAGGTGCTGAGGCTTTAACCCACAGCGCCACCTGCGCCCCCCCAGGACCTTTAAGCTATTATTATTCATGGACCTTAGGGTCCACTGTGGGACATACCAGGAGAGGCGGTCCCGTAAGTACGAGGGTCCTAGACCACATAGGGCTTTAAGGGTCAAAAACAGCACCTTAAACCTGACCCTATACTCCACCAGGAGTACACCCTATACTTCTTCATTTTTCATTTTTCTTCCCTCTCACCCACCAACACCAGCAAAAAAGAAAAAGAGGGAATGTTTTTGATTATTTTCTGGTGATGGTTAAGTTGTTGGTTCCCCCCAAATAGCTTCCCTCTATATCAAAAGGGAAGATTGTTGTTGTTGTTGTTATTTAAAGGAGATTATCACTTTGATAGACTGATAAAAAGAGAGAGACTGGTGGAATGGGTACTAGGTGGAGGGGGGCGTAGGTGGAGGGTGTCACGATAGGGGGAAATGGGGGGGGGGATTTAAAGAGCTGCCTTATGCTGAAATGGGAGTTTGGTTAGTTGTGAGGTGAGAATGATGTGGAGGGCATTTTTCGGTAAGCAGTGCACGCAAATTTGTGTCTGCTCACAAGTAAGCCCTATTAAATTCAATATGGCTTTCCCCTGAGGAAAGGAGAAATTAATTTAGTAGAGTGGAGTTTAATCGTGCAGAGCTCCATCCTTATTGGTATTTCGCACTGTTTAGCTGGTGATATATTATCATGTTGAAAACCAGAT